CGAAATAAAATTTCTCTTTCTCAATTCGACAGCGAATTGCGTGGAAAAGTTATATATATATATGTATATATAGTTAGAAATATTGTCACGTGCGACATGCTCTTTAGGGAACGTACCCATACTACGTGACTCACTTTTTCGCATGCCCGGAAAAACCGACAACCCTAACGGCCTTGTCCCTGTGGACCAACCGTACAGAAGCTGCACGCTTCCTAGGGCTGCCGTTAGTGGAACTTGACGACAACGACTGAGATACCAACCGTCCTGGGCGGGGTTGTTGTAGCCGCTACAACAACAACAACAACAACCCACTTTTTCCAATTTTTGATCCCCTTCCCCCCTGGGTGACCACGCGTAGTATATTCCAATACCCAAACATCGAAAAAACGCTAGATTTCCTTATACTACGTAATAAAAACGGAAGCCCCGCCCCCACTGTGACCAAGTTTGGTATTTTGAAGATCCCCCGCTCCCCCCAGAACGGGTAACTTAGTATAATAGGTACGTTCCCATACATACTATATACATACAATTTTTGCGAGTAGGATAGACTTGCCGTCGAAATAAAACTTTCATTTGGGTATTAAGAAGAATTTAGTTTACCTCTACCATAATATGTTAAATTATCATTCCATTGGTCCTATTGGGGCGTGTCTAATTAAAAGGTGGATATGTCCACCATATGTACATTATTTTACAGGAAAAGAATTATGGGTGACTAGCAAAGTTTGAGTATTAAAAAAAAAACTCATCTGGAAAATAATTGTCAGCCAAAAAAGTGTACTGGAAGTTTTATTTAGACACTCGCCAACTATAAGTATGATTATTGTTTCAAGGATATCGCATCGAAATGCAGCCGAATAGTGAAGTCTGTAATTTAAGATTAGTGACCTTCAAATGCGCATTGTCTTCTAAATAGCCAAAACGACTAACTATCGACACATGTGAAATCTGTGATCATAAGTACAAGCCTAACATTAAGCATATTGTTCATTTGCTTTGTTTTTTGTTAAGAGATAAGTAGTTGCATTGACAACTGTAGCGCATCTGATTGCCTGATGTTCATCCATATTTGTCAATAGGCCCACTGCAGTGAGTAAAACGCGTTTACGATGTGCGCCTGGCACGCGAAGAGAGCAAATAAGAGAGATGCATGTGTTTCGTAGTAGCTTGTGTGGCCGTTGGTCCAACGCTCGCTTTTGATTTTAGTTTTCAATTGAATATTGTTGACAGTGGGACGTACACGCATTGCTTTTCACCTCTACCGTAAGCAGTTCCTGTTTTCTATCTTATAAAAATAAATTCCTTTATACCTGTAGATGTGTATGGATGTACATATGTATATGTTTATACCTTTGTCATTTAGGCGGGGTTTTTTTAAGACATGATTGTTAATGCATATCCCGTCTATATTTATATTGTGTTTCAGACTCTGCATTTTAGCAGCGTGCGCCGCGCAACAACATGGAAGATCCCAACCGTATGATGGCACATACTGGTGGCATGATGGCCCCACAAGCTTACGAAATAAAATTTCTCTTTCTCAATTCGACAGCGAATTGCGTGGAAA